CTGGGCAACAAGAGCAAAGCAGGAGGCATCAGAATCTTGGATTTCAAGTTATATTACAAAGCTACAATGATAAAAAAAAATAGCATAGTATTGGCACAACAATAACCAAGTGGATCAATGGACCAGAATAGAGGATGTAGAAACAACCCAAGGCACATTCATGCTATCTGATATTTGAGTAAGGAATGAAACACATACACTAGAGAAAAGAGAGATTCCCACTGACAACAATGCTGGGAAAACTAGCTATATGCACACAGAAGATTGAATCTAGACCCGTATCTCTCAGCACATACTAAAAACAAAATAAAAATGGATCAGAGATCTAAATAGTAAAACAAAAACAGTAAATGCATTGGAAGATAAAATAGGTAAAATTCTTCTTTTTTTTGCAGTACCAGGGATCAAACTCACAACCTTGTGCTTGCCAGGCAGGCACTTACGCCACTGAGCTAAATCCCCAGTCAAAATTCTTAAAGACATAGCTATAGGCAAAGATTTTCTGAACAGAATGCCAACTGCACAAGAAATAGGATCAACAAATGAGACTACATCAAACTAAAAAGCAGGCAATGTTGGCACTTATGGCGCTGATAAACCAAGCAACCAGCTTGCCTCCCTGGTAAGTGGCTGCGGCTGCCCCAGGGCAAGAACCACCAGCGTTTCCTGAGACCCGCACCATGTTGGAACTTGGGGTGTTGGGAAACCAAGCAACCAGTTCACCTCCCTGCTAAGCAGTAGTGAGCCTACAGCACACCGGCTGAGAATCAAACACCCCCACCCCCACCATTAGCAAATGGGAACCAGAGATCTGAGCATCTGCTGGGAGGTTGACTATATGCAATATAGCAAATAAGGGGGATTTCCTTCTAACATCTCTTTGAAGGCCAATATTTTTACCATTGTTTTTCTTCATTTCTCATGAATGGTATTTGCTCTTCTTTATTCTCATTAATGGTATTTGCTCTTTTCAATATTCTGTTTTGGTAAGTTCTATAATATTCTGTATTTTGTTTTATTTTGCTATACATGATTGAAAGAACAACTATTGTGGAGATAATGAGATAGACTATAGTACCCAGTAACCTGCTGTGAGGTTCTATACCAATTTCATTACACTGTCTAAACTGGCTTAGTTCCAACTGGTTCTACTGTATTTTACTACCTTCAAAATAATACAAAAATTTTTAAAAACAACTAAAAAGCAACACAGCAAAGAAAACCAACAGAATGAAAAGACAATCTGTAGAATGGAGAAAAAAATATTTGCCTGCTATGCTTCAGACAGAGGACTAACACCTAGAATACATAAATAACTAAAAAAAAAAAAAAAAAAACCCAACTCTCTTAAAATAAAGACCCAATCAAAAAATGGGCAACTGAAATGAAATGATACTTCTCAAAAGTACTAATGGCCAATAAATCCATTAAAAAATGTTCAGCATTTCTGACCTTCAGTGAAATGCAAATTAAAACAACACTGAGAGTTTATCTTACTCCAGAAAGAATATCATCAAGAAATCTAATAAAAAATTAGATTTCTAATATTAGATTTCTGGCAAGGCTGCAGGAAAAAACTAACCCTTTACATTGTGGGAATCTAAATTAGTACAACCACTGTGGAAATCAATATGGATATTCAGTAAAGAATAAAACTAGAAATTCTATTTGATTCATCTATTCCCGTTCCTGAAAGTGTTAAAGATACCATATTACAATGATAAATGCATATTGTGTATATAACAGCACAACTCATAATAGCTAAATCTCAGACGTGCCTACATGTCACCAACAGATGAAAGGATAAAATGTAGTACTGATATACAATGGGGTATGGCTCTGCTATAAAGAAGGTAAAGTTGAGTGGTCTGTAGGAAAACTGATACACATGGAGATCTGAGATTACTGAGATAATAAACACTGCATAGCTTCTCTTCTATGAAAAACCCAAAGTATAAATAAAAAGCAAAATAAAAGATAGATACTAGAAAATAGGGAGCTAGATCTTTTGCAAATGGGAAGGAAACCAAGAGATGAAAAGAGGGGGCGGAGAGGGAAGGGAAAGGAGATAGTGAAAAAGCTAAGCTGTGTTAAGTGCATGTGTCAGTTGCTAATAATGAATGTAACCATTATGTATTACAAACGTGTACTAGTAAAAAAAACCAGAAAGGCAAATTCATAGCAACAAAAAGTAGAATAGAAATTGCCAGAGGCTATGGGAATTAGAATTACTGCTTAGTAGGCATAAATTTCTGCGAGATGAAGAAAAGTCTGGAAATAGTATGATGTAAATGTACTTAATTGAACACTTAAAGGTTGGTAGTACAATTTTATATTGTGTAAATTCAACCACAAAAAATAAGTGGGAGAGCGCCCACTGCAGTGTGATACATGGTAAACTGATTCCATTATGCCTAGGATCTCCTACTTACTTAATATTCATATTAAACTTTTCTTAGGGCTTTACACAAGAGATAATGAATTAGAATTAGGAATGTGGCTAAATGGCGGGTGTGGTTGTACATCTTTGTTATCCCAGATCATTTGGAGGAGACTGAGGTAGCAGAATCTTTTTTTTTTTTTTTTGGTAGCAGAATCTTAAGTGCAAGGCCACCATGGGCAAATGAACAAACCTGTCTCAAAATGAAAAGGGAGGTGGGCCTTACATGTCCCACAGGCCTGGAAGGGAGAGTGCGGTGGAGAGTCGTGACTGGGAGAGGAGCACTACAGATCTGCTTGGTGAACCAGTGCATCACCATGTTGGCTTCGAGGTCTCTGACCATCACCTTCTAGGGTTTTTCACCCAGCATTCACCAAGGCCTCCTCCCCCACTGTGAAGAATTCCATCACAAAGAATGAATGGTTCTTAACACCTAGCAGGTAATATGCCACCAGGTCAATACTTGGAATCCGACATGGGAAAACTGCCCTGAGGACTCAGAGGCTGCACTGGAACCATAATTGAAAAAAATATACAAAACTGAATAGGAAGATGTTTTATTGCTGGAGGGGCTGCTGTTGGTCATGGAGCACTGTGCTGCTATCTTGGGAATGTTCAACGAGATAGGAGTGACTGAAAAGGCTGTAATTTGGCCTCAAAGTGTGAAGGATAGATAGGACACATCATTCCACCTACATGTATTTAGAGGGAAGTGTTAGTTTAACAGCTTTGTCTATCTTGGTAGTAACTAGAAGTCCTATGCTCATGAACTTCATAATGAGAGGCTCTTTGGTGACAACTGGTGTAACTTTTGCAGCCATGACTGATGCTGGAATGCTGGTGCAATCCACACAACACGATCGGCATCCAGGCCCAAAGCATGTTGCCTGGTTGCTCCATTGTGGTGTGATGGATGGTGTGGTGGCACTTCTGACCATATGGGGTGGTCATCTCCTCGTCAGAGCCACATGGTAGAGGGCTATTTTTGAGTTTATTAGAGTAAGTAAAAATTAGCAAGTTTGTGTGTATGTCTGTTTTTTGAGGGGGGACACAATTATCTTTTTGTTTTTTTTTTTTGAAACAGGGTCTTGCTGTGTAGTTCAGGCTGGCTTTGAGCTCACTACATAGCCCAGGCTGGCCTCAAACTCATGGCAATACTTTGCCTTGGCCTCCCGAGGACTGGGATTAACAGGCATGCAACACCATGCCTGGCTGGGACACCAAACGTTGATGTAACATCATAAGTAATGTAGAGGTTTTGGTGTAGAGACCAGAGAGTAGGCTACCCATACTTTCCCCCCAGTTCTTAGGAGTTCCCCTTTTGTGACTGTGATAAGCCAGTGACAGACATCTGAGTGTGTGTAACGAACAAGTGATTATTGTTTTGCATTTATCACAGAAATAGACATGGGGGACTCTGCTTCTCAGTGCTATCTTCACAATGGAGACGTGGTCCTGGTGAGGACATGCTGGGACAGTCCAGAGTATTTGTCCCCTAGCAATCCCAAGCGGAATTATATCTGTGAATTTTCCTCTTGAATCTCCTTAAGCAACAAATCCTTAAAATGTCTCTAGATAAAATGTTCAAAGCATGAAACTTACTGCTTTTTAAACTATACAGGGTTTAGAATTGTTGAAGACTTGTTGCATACATGCTTGGTTTTATTGGCTCTTCAGGTTTTGACATCATTAGAAAAACCCACTGTGGTTTTTACTGGAGGTTTTTACAAAAGTGGTTTTTCTCCCAAAACTGTTGGTTTTTCTTGCATTCCTACTCAGATGAAGCACTGTAAAGCAAAGCTAGCCATTTATGAAAAATACAAATCAAAAGTGGAATGGGGAAGTGCTTTGTTAGTTTCCCCAGAACAATTTTCTTTTTGTCCTGCATAGAACATTACTTAGCTTGCTTGTGACATTTCTAAGGTTTTTTTTGGGTACTGGAAGTCTTTAGTGATGAGAAGACGTCTATATGATTACTAAGGTCATTGTTATTTTCATAAACATGTATGCAGCAACCTGGAAATAACTTTTAACCATATCACAGTGCACAGAATACCTATTTATGAAACAATGAAGCTTCAGACCAGATTTAAAAAACATGAAAGAGTGGGAAACAGTTGGTGTAGCGCAGTAGTAGAACATCCCTAAGTTCGATTCCTAGTACTGCCAACACATACACACAGAGTTAAAATAAAATCAAGGCAGAACAAACATATACAGGTGCAAACTCCCTATGGTGAATATGATCACTATGTAGATCTAAACTGTACCAAAAAACTTAATTTAAAAAAGATCAGAACAAAAAGACTACGAAAAGAGTTGTCAAAAAGCCTAATACTGAGAGGGTAAGACCAAACTAAAACCAAAAATAAAGCAGAGATGAGTCAAATACATAGTGCCATAAGTTCTGCGGGTCCTGTTCTCTAACCAGTGTCCAGTTGTCACGGTTTTCTTTTGCAACTAAGCACATCTAATATAAAGCTACCACCCAACTGTCACTCCATCAGTAACAGAGTTTACTGTTTCATGGGAAACAAAAGGTGAAAGATGAGAATCTTACCATCTCATAAGCAAATGTTTCTTGTCTGCAGGCACGATCTATCGTTATGGTTTCTTCTCGATGTTCCAAGAACCTTTTTCTAGCCCTGTTGACAATACATGAAAAATCAAAGTTCAAAACTCTTTTCTGGGGCTTCAAAGAATCTTTAGTATCTTAACTTTTTATTCTGGACCAATTTTAGAATTAAAGTGGCAAACATAAAGTATATATATGTGTATATATGTATATATACCTATACACACACACACATATATAAACATATATATATATCTTATCCAATTGCCCTTACATTAAATTTACATATGATCACAAATTAAGAATAGAACTATTAACATTAATACAAGTTTATATAATTTTTAGCTTAATGCCTTTTTTATCTTTAGCTTATTTTTCCTTTTTACCCTCCAATCTGTCACAGTTCCTCTGGCTCTGTGTCTTTCACATTCTTGACACCCGAAGAGCTCCCATCACTTTGTAGAACGTCCTTTAATTTGGGTTTCATTTTGATTGGCCATGACTTGGAGTAAACTTGGCATTTTTGCAAGAATACTACAAGAATGATTTTCTTCTTGGTATACCATTTTGAGAGGTTCATGAGAAACTTACCTCATTTAAGTTTCTGTCTACCATTACTTTCTTTTACCTGAACCTGAAAAATACTTCAGGGCACATAACCTCGAAACAAGGCAAACCTTGTTTCTCCTCAAATTTCTCACCCAGGAATTTCACCTTCAATATTACTCTAGTTTTGCATGGCTAATGATGATTCTTTAGCTCTCCTCCTCCACTTATTCACTGGGATTTCATTATGAGGGAGACCTATTTCTAACCATTTATTTACTTGATTATATTTGTATAAACTTATTCAGTGGGTTACATAAACTCTAAAACCATCATGATTTTGTTGCTCAAACTGTTCCAGCTTTGGTCATTATGTTACAAGCAGCTGAGTTAGTTAGAAATATTACAGGCTCAGATAGGAGCGAGGCCTCAAAGTTTTTGTATTATATATTCAGTTTCCCTATATACATCCTGGTGGATTTTGTCTGATTAGTTTTAGGGTACGTGAGGTGAGGCATGCCTGTAATCCCAGCACTCGGGGGACTGAGGCACGAGGATCCCCATGAATTCAAGGCCAGCCTGGGCTACATATTGAGTTCCAAGGCCAGCCTGAACAATACAGCAAGACGCTGTCTCAAAAACCAAAATCAAAAATTAAAACCACCACAAATTAGAAAGGAATACAAACATGAAACGATAGTGATGATAATAACCGTAAAAGCAAAGAAATTGAAGTTTGGGGGCTGGAGGTTTAGCTCAGTGGCATAAGCGCCTGCCTTGCAAGCAGGCAGTCGTGAGTTCAATTCCCCGGTACCGATAAAAGGAAAAAGACCAAAAAAAAAAAAAAAAAAAAAAAAAAGAAAGAAATTGAAGTTTGGGTTGACCACTGAAGTAGTTTTCTGAGATAAGAGGTTTTTTTTTTTTTTGTCTTTTTGAAACAGGGTCTCACTATGCAGTTCAGGCTGGCCTTGAGCTCACTTTGTAGCCCAGGCTGGTCTCAAACTCACAAGGATCCTCCCACCTCAGCCTCCTGAGTGCTCGGATTACAGGTGTGAGCCACCACACCCTGCGAGACAAGTTTTGCTATGTAGCTCTGGTTGGCCTTGAATTCACAACTATCCCAGACTGGTCTTGAGCTCACTGCAGCCTCCTAAGCACTGGGATTACAGCCTTGCCTCACCATGCCCAGTGAACAGCTACTTTTCTACTCCCTGACTTTCAGAAGTCAATGTTGCTGGGGATACAAGGGATACAGCTCAGCAACACAGTGCCTGCCTGGCAAGTACAAAGTCATGAGTTCAATTCCCCATACCAAAAACAAACAAACACAAAGTCAGCATTAACTACAGTATTTCTGAAAAATATAAGAGCAAGACACGCCTCAAAATATGCTAATTCAATCTTACTAATAAAAAATTTTAAACTGCTTTTTACTCAATGATCTGACTTCCACACATGCCCAGTGTTCATTCTTAATAGAAATTACTGATGATTAACAAACCACTATCACCTTTCTAAAAATATTATGAATGCTAGCAATAAAGGACCCATGCAAATCTCTGAGTGGCTAAGAATTTATGCCCTTTTTTTTTTTTTTTTTTTTTGTCTTTTGTCTCTTTTAGACAGAGTCTTACTATGTAGTCAGGCTGGTATGGAGCTCACTTTGTAGCCTAGGCTGATCTGGAACTTGCAACAATTCTCCTGGTCTCAGCCTCCCAAGTGCTGGCTTTACTTTATGGGTGTGCTAAAATTTATACATTTTGGGGAAAGAGACACAGTCTTCCCTAAATCACTAAGTTGCCCAGGCAGGGCTTGAACTTTTGATATTTCTGCTTCAGTCTCCACAGTACTAGAATTGTGAGATGACCATCATGCCCATCTATGCATTTCTATTTTGTTAGTTTTGAAATATTTTATTACTTTTATAATTAGAAAACAATAATGCACATTTAAATTAACAAACTCATCTAAGATAATCCTTAAAATATTCTTGAAAAACACTGCAAATATTCCTCCCTAAACATTAGCTCAGCTTAAGAATTTTTGAGACCACTGTTCTCTGGCCCAGTCCTGACCACTTAGTAGCTCTGAACAAGGGAACCAGAAATCTCCACACCTACTCATCCAAAGGTGAGAATACAAGACTATATGAGAGCTTGTTTCCTGCTGATGAATTAATTCAATCCAAATGGATGAGTTCTACAGGGCAAAAATATTAAAATTAAAATTTTTTAAAAAAATTTTACTTATCATACCATCTGCTTTTGATAAACCAAGGCAGGGAATATTATTTGAGGAGAAACCAATAACAAGTTCATCAATTAATACAACAAAAGTATGTTTATCCTAATTAGTAAGGGAGAGATCAGCCATGACCATGGACTACTATTGCAGCAAAATTATGCAAGCCAAAACTATTCCTCAGCCAGGGATGGACACAGCATGCCTACACAGTAATCCCTGTACTCCTGAAGGCTGAGACAGGAAAACGACACTAAACGGCATTACTCATGAAAAATAAGAATTATTTTATCTAGAGAACACCTAGTGATTTTAAATATATGTATATTTAAATATCTTAAGTGTAAACATTATAACATTCCTTCCATATTTCACTCAATTTCACTGAGAACTCTAACCTTCAGTTCATTTTCACTTTCTCAGACTTTCTTATAGCTGCAGGATACTCTGCTGTGTGGATCTCCCAGTGTGCTCACCACTCTCCTATGTGAATTTTCAAACAGGAATAACCTCTTTCCCCAAGAATGGGGTTGCACCAGTGTACAGTCTCATCAGCAATATTTGAAAACACCTGTTTCCCAGAGCCTTTTCAAAAGTATACATTTTAAAATTTGTAGAGCCAGGCATGGTTGCTCACGCCTGTAATCCCAGCACTTGGCAGGCGAAGGCAGGAGGATGATTGTGAGTTTGAGACCAGCAAAACCCTGTCTCAAAAAGACAAAAAAAAAAAAAAAAAAAAAAATTATGTTACTCTGACAGGTAAGAAAAGGCAATTGGATACTGGGGATTTAGCTCAGCAGCATAAGTGCCTGCCTGCCAAGTATGAGGTCAGGAGTTTCATCCCCAGTACCAAAAAAAATGGTCTGTGATTTCAGGCCGGGGATTTAGCTCGGTGGCATAAGCACCTGCCTGGCAAGCGCAAGGTTGTGAGTTAGATTCCGGGTACCATAAGAAAAAAGAAAAAAAAAGGGCAATTCAGTATAGTTTGGACTTTCATTTCTCTAATTATGAGTGTGGCAACACATCTTTCATGTTTGTGTGTCATTTAAAACAAATTTTTTGAGACCTGTCTTGCTCTGTAGTTCAGGCTGACCCTGAATTCATTCTGTAGCCCAGGCAGGCCTTGAACTCACAGCAATCCTCCTGGCTCAGCCTCCCTAGTGCTGGGATTACAGGCAGGTGCCACCATGCCTAGTTTAAAATTTTGCTTAATGCTGGGGACTGAACTCTTGTACATAGTGGACAACTCTACTACTCTGTTTTATCTCCAGCCCTTAGTTTTATAAACTATAGCTTGTCTTTTTCCCATGTTTCCGCTTATTTTTTTCCCTCATCTTTAAGAGCTCCTTATATATTAATCCCACTGTAGCATATATTATATGTATTTTCTCCAAGTTTGGCATAGTATCTTTATTTTAGAGAGGAAACCACTTCCTGGGGTGAAACGGGGCAACTACGTGTTAACTGTACAGCTAAGCTCTCTGAGAAGATGAATCACTATGACCCCAACTACGCTGATGGTTATGGGCACAGCTATGATGTAATATCAGTGGTGAAGGCAGACTTGGAAAGTGCCGAAAAAACATACCCCTTCTTCCTTGCTGGTTTCCAATGAAAAATTGTCTTGCGGGAAGGAAACAATACAAAAGTGGAAACAAAGCTTTGTTTTTGGTTCCCAAGGAGACGCTAGTCCCTCACAGACACCAGCAGAATAAGCTGCTCTTTGTTCCCAAAACTCCACATGTTGTTGGTTCTGTCAGGGATATCATGCAGTTTCCGGCTTCATTTTGACCTTGTCTATGGTGGTTTTTTGGAGGGGGGCAGGGTTTGTCACGCAAATTTTATTAAATGATCAATCAGTCTGTAAAAATCGTCTCTAGGGCTGGGGATATAGCTCTGTAATTCATTGCTTACCCTGAGTTTGATCCGCCTACCAGGAAAAAAAAATCTGAATTTGAATCAATTTTATTGCATCAATGCTTATACATTTTGTTCTTTATAATTCGACCTCCAATTTCTTTGGAATTTATTCTTGTGTACTGTGTCTTACTAAATTTGACTTGAAGAGCAAATCCCCACTGCTATAATTAAAAAGACTAAGCATATTTTAATGTCTGATAAAAATACTGGTCTCAAAGGATAAAAAAGATGTGGTATTTTTATACACTAAACTAAAAAGGAATATAATCTTGAGGCTTTTACAATTAAATGAATGCAACTTGAGACCATATTCATAAATGAAATATATCAGTATTGTCTAATACTGAATATTAGAATAAACAC